TGAGTCCTCTGCTTAGGGTCTTTCACAAGGCTGCAATCATGATGTCGTCCAAGCTGTGTTCTCATCTCCAGGCTCAACTGGGGAAGAATCTGCTTCCAAGCTCACTGAAATTTGGGGCAGAATTCACTTCCTTGCAGTGTAGGACTGAGGGCCTATTGAGGGCTAATTGCTGGTTGTCCGCAGGGACCACCCGTGGTTCCTGGCCATATAGCTACTTACCAGGCCAGCAAGAAGAGTCTTAGAGTCTGCTAACAAGACAGAATCTCATAGAATATAATCAGGAGTGAGACAGCCCATCACTTTTGCCATGTTCAGTTTTGTTAGAAACAATATTACGGGTCCTGCTCGCACTCAAGTGGAGGGGATTACACGAAGGTGTGAACACCAGGTGGCCGGGATTGTGGATCGGAGGCCACCTTAGGGCCTGTCCACCATAGCAGTAAAATCCTTTCTGAACACTGTTTTATCTGCACCCTACAAATATTGTTATATTTTTGTTACCATTACGTTCTAAGTACTTTTAAATTTCCCTTGTGAATACTTCTTTGACCCATGGATTATTTAGAAGTGTGTTTCTAGATTTTTAAATACTTAGGGATTTCAGTACTTTACAATTTATCAGACTTGTCTTATGGCCTGACATATGATCTGTCTTGGTAAATGTGCCATGTGCATTTATATTTTACCATTATACCACATACATATTCTTTAGTTGTTCCCAGTAGTATTCACAGATACCATCTATGTCAGGTGGTTGATAGTGTGTTCATATGTGTATCCACTTTTGTATGTGTCTCTTTCTAGCAGTTGCTGAGTGGCAGTGTTTAAAATCTTTAAATGGATGGGATTGGCCGTTTTTCTTTTAAATTTTGTCAATTTTCCTTTCATTCATTTTGAAGTAGTCTTATACATAAATACACTTATATGTCTTATGAGTTGATTCTTCTACCATTTTGAAATGTTCCTCTTTATCTCTGCTAGTATTCTTTGTCTTCAAGCCTTCTTTGTCTGATATTAATATAGTCCCTCCAGCTTTCTGGTGCTTACTGCTTATATGATATACTTTTCTTCCACACATTTTTTATTTTTATTTTTATTTATTTATTTATTTATTTTAAAGATTTTATTGGGGAATTGAGGGAGGGGAACAGCATTGGGGAATCAGGGAAGGGGAACAGACAAGTTGCTGTCCTTTTATTCTTCAGTCTAGTTTTGGAGGACGTCGCTTCACTGGCCCATGTTGGTATTATGATCATTGCGCTCTTCACAGCCGAGGCATTCCCTTGTCGGCCCCTGGATGGCTGCTCACGACAGCTCACGCTACCTGCTGGCCACTCAAGGTAGCTCAAGGCAGCCCTCTGCAGCCTACGCCGTCACCGGCAACTCATGGCAGCCCAGCTCCAGGTCGAGCTGTTGTTCACCATCTAGCTGTAGAGGGCACAGCGTCACTGGCCCCCACGTGGGGTTCGAACCGGCGGCCCTGCTGCTCAGAGCTCACACTCCCAAGCCAACTGTTAACCAACGAACCACTCGGCTGGCCCAGTGAATGTTTTTTATTTCAAATATTTGCCTCAATTCTGCAATTTCTGTTTGGTCCTTTTGTACTTCTGAGATTTCCTGTTTCATTTCAATTTGAGAATATTTTTCATTATTTCATTGAGCATAGTTTTAATGACTTTGCCTGCTAATACAACATCTGGGTTATCTCAGTCTCTTAACAAATAGATCACATTTTTCTGGTTTTGTTTTTTTGGTTTGTTTTCCTTTTTTTGGTATGTTGAATAATTCTGGATTGTATCCTGGACATTTGTGAATGTTAGGTTGTGAAGACTGGAATCTGTTATGTTTTTCCAAAGAGTGTCAATTTGTTCTAGGAGGCAGTTAATTTGGTTGGCAGTTTAAATCTCACTTTCTTTTATCCTTAACTAGGCTGCCTGGAGTCTGTCTGAGTATGTGTAGTTATGGAATCAACTAGAGATTTGGGAAACATTTATAATACAGAAGTTGGGGCTCTCCCTCTCTGGCTCTCTCCTTTCTTTCCCTCAGTTTCCAGCCGCTGTGATTCCCCCTAAACTGCTCTCTAGTTTTTCAGGCCGAAAGGACTGAGATTTTTATGGTTATGTAGCCCTCAAAAATGGGAAATTCCCCCATGCCATTCCCTTCTTCCAAACATTGATGACTCCTCTAGAATCTGCCCACTTTGGGCCACTTTCTGGTGTCTTCAGGTAGTTATTGTTTTGTCTAGAGTTTATAGTAGTTTGTGGAGGGTTACCTGGTAGAGAAGCTTTATTGGCCATATGAGAAATGGAATGGAGAAGCATTCTGAAACATATTTTAGTAGCTATTTGCAATGTAATGGGGTGGTAAAAATATTATAATTAGCCAGTTAAATGTAAGCTAGATAGGAGGATTTCCTTTGAGGTGATTTTTCTAGTCTTTTTACTCTACTCTTTTGTTCTCTCTTCAATATATAGCCATTTAGTATTCTTTGATAAAGGATTTTTATTATAGTTCCTATAAAGGACATTTTTCAGTGTTGTAGGTAGTAGCCTCCTCAGCTGTTCCTCATCACCAGTGGTTGTTTGAACAAATGAGACCAGGTCTTAGACCCAGTGCCTAGAGTAATACTTCACAGAATTTTAAAAGAATCTGTTGTATGTCAAAATACAGATAATGATTGGCATTATGAGTAATTTCTTTTATATTTTATATTTTTCATATTTTCATAATTTGACATAATTTCTGTTACTGTTTCATAATTACAAAACATGTTTTTATTCAATTTAAATATTACGAAATATATAACTAGAAAGGGATAGTCTCATCTGCACTTTTACTGTCCAAAGGCAGTTATTGGAGTTCAGTTGAACTCCATGGTGCCAAAGTAGTTTTGTTTGTATGCTCACTTTGATCCAGCTGTTTTAACCTGGGGAATGGTTTGGCAGCAGCTATAAGTACACAAGCTGAAATTTGTTATAGACAAACTAAAGAATCCTATATTGTAGGTAACATGAAAAACACAAAAAATGTGTTCCAGAAAAATTCAACTTGGTAGGGGAAAAAAAAACAATGAAAAATAATCTTAACAGCAGTTAAAACTGCATGTGATCAAATTAACTAATGACCAAAAGTTAACAGAAACAGTAAATATTGGGAAAATTTGGAGCAACTTAATCTAACCCAGAAAAACCTGACTTAGTAGAAATAATGGCCACACAAAACCAACTTTTAAAATGATAAAACATAATTGATAAGGATTTGATTTGATTAATTAAATCTTTATTTGAAATTTGGTACTTGAGTCTGATGAAAATGATTTCAGTAAAATTAAATTGGAAAGAAATGGAATTGGTTTAACTATGACTTATTATCATCATTATTTTGACTTTGCATGTCTTGGACGTTATTCCCTGTTAGCTTTTATAGCTCTAGCTCATTCTTTTTAATGACTGCTTATTATCCCATTACATGAATCTATGATGATTTTATTCTACCTTTAAAGAAAAAACTATTCTGTTTTCCAGAATATGCTTTTAAGGCTATTAACCAGGGTGGCCTTACATCAGTAGCTGTCAGAGGGAAAGACTGTGCAGTAATTGTCACACAGAAGAAAGTACCTGTAAGTAATACTGCCCAGATAGCCAATTATTATATAATATAATGCCAGAATTTTTCACAAGTTTGTGCAAAGGTATATTACCTATCTATATATGTTAACATTATTCTTTCTTTGACTCTGCTTTCCTATCTGTAATTCAAGAAGTATTTATTGAGCAGCTATGGACAGTTTAACTGAGTAGACAGAATTAACATATTAAACTTTGTGATATGATTATAAATAAGCACAGTGGAATTTCTAGGTCTTTTGTCTTCAGGACCTTGAAATATGCTCCTCCCTCCCTTTTTTTAAAATTGGTTTTAACTTTAAAATGAACAGAAGACATTTATTATAGTGTATTGTTATAATTCCATAGTATTTTTTTAGCACTACACAGAGACCTGTAATTTTTTTTTTAATTACCTTGACTTATTTTGTTCATTAGGACAAATTATTGGATTCCAGCACAGTGACCCACTTATTCAAGATAACTGAAAACATTGGCTGTGTGATGACAGGAATGACAGGTAATTGGTTCGATGTCACAAAGATTTGTTATTTTCTTCAAATTATTTTTGAGTTTTGTATTAATTTTTAAAGGCTCCCTTTAGTGCCTGATTTTTCAGGTGATATGACTAGATTTGCAGTCTTCCAAGACTGTTATCAATATCTTCAGAGTATTGGGAGCTTTTTTGAAATCATGAGTATAATAGAATTAGATGTCTATGCTCCTGTTAGAGAAACTGGGCTGAGGCCCCTCTCATAGATTATTTATTTCAGATGTAGTTAATGGTTTAAGTGGGTGTAAATCAGTATATTTTAAACCTGGTAATAATGACACTAGTTAGAAGTAGGTGAGAATTATAAAAAAATTACTTTGGATTTCTATTTTCTGAAATCAAGGGAAAATTCAAGTTTATAAAAAAAAAAGATAAAGAAAAATATTCTCCTTAAAACTTGTTCTTTAGGGAGTTATTAGACATGTATGGAAACGTACAACAGCTGATGAAGGGCTCAGCATAAAAGGGCAATACTGTCTATAGAATGCCATCTTAAACTTTTTCCTGTTCTTGTCATGTACTTGTTGCTGACTCATTCACTATTCATTGGAGGGAGAAAAAGCCACAGTGGACTACTTCTGCTTTCCTTAAGTCATAGTGGGGAGATATATATGGAAAATTGTTTGGCTTGGAGGTTTATTCTTTCTTTCTAAAGAACTAAACCTTTTTTTTTTATGCTTTTAGCTGATAGCAGATCCCAGGTACAGAGGGCACGCTATGAGGCAGCTAATTGGAAATACAAGTATGGCTATGAGATTCCTGTAGACATGCTGTGTAAAAGAATTGCTGATATTTCTCAGGTCTACACACAGAATGCTGAAATGAGGCCTCTTGGTTGTTGTAAGTATGCTAAGAAGTCTCCCAAATAATTAATGAATTAGAATTTTTTTAGAGAACATGCATAAAGAAAGTTATTTCAGTATCACCTAGGCTCTGAACATGTGGTTTGGAAATTATATAAGGTGAGGAAATGTTTGGATAAATTAGCGATGAAGGATAGGTTTCACAACAGTATTCTCTTTAAGCTTTAGATGCTGTTAGACTTTTTATTAAAATATTTCTATATAGGGGGTGTGGTTTGAAAGATAAAAGTCGCTGTTACATTAGGCTGTTGTAATGAAGGTTCTGCAGGAATTCCAGAGCACTAGTTCAATGGAAATGCCTAAATTAGGCATTTAACAATATAGCTGTTTCTTTTGACCACCCTAAAGAATCAGGCTCATACATATGTGCCTGTGATTCGTATTTTTAGAATATATTTCTTTTTTTTAAAATAAAATTTAAAAAAAAATTTTTATTGGGAGAGGGATATGGTTTACTGATTTTAGACTTAATAATTATCCTGCAAAATTCAACACTTTTTTCTGACATTGTGTCTTCATTTATTAAAGCAGTCAATGTAATAATTTCTCTTTAGCATCTGATCCTACTTTTTGACCTCTCACTTAAAAGTACTTTGATTTCTTCAGTAATATTCTCTTTCACTTCATTTTCCTTGGCTCACCCTCTTCTGCTGGTTCCTTAATGTTGTTCACCGGGTTTCTCTCCTTGGTCCTTCTCTCCTCCTTCGTTCTATCTGGATGATCTCAAGCACTTGCATGGCTTCATTTACAACCTGTATGCCAAACACTCCCACATTAGCTTTAGCCCAGTCCCTTCCTACATGTCCCACAGAAAGAGGTTGGGCCCAAAATTCAAGTGATGTTTAAATTTAAAAGATTATTACAGTAAAAGACACATTGCCACTAGTCCCCCTCAACATACGCCCCCTCACTTTGAACACGCTTATCCCATCGTTCTTGCCACTTTCTGAAGCAGTTCTGGAAGTCCTCTTTCGTGAGTGTCTTTAGTTGTGCTGTCGTGGCTGCCTTTATGCCCTGAATCGATTCAAAATGTTTACTTTTCATGGTCATTTTGACTTTGGGGGAAGAGCCAGAAATCACACGGTGCCAAGTCCAGTGAATATGGTGGATGATGGCACATCGTAATGTTTTTATTTGACAGAAATTGCCGTATACCAGAAGCAATGTGTGACAAGGAGCCTTTCCGTTGTGATCACAAAACAATGAATGCTGCTGTCTAGTGCTGGAAAGGCAGGATCTTCAATAGGGGAAGCCCCATGTTGAACCTTAGTAACTGTGTGTGACAAGTTTCAACTACTTCGGTGCAGTCGCTCAGATGTGAGCTACAGTTGAGAGAAGGTGTGTTTTAAAGTGTGCCCTAAATCATCCTCCATCATGACAATGCTCCGTGTCACACATCGCTTCTGGTACTGCAATTCCTGTCAAATAAAAACATTACAGTGTGTCCTTATCCACCTCATTCACCGGATCTGGCACCCACTGTGCGACTTCTAGCTCTTCCCCAAAGTCAGAATGATTCAGGACATCGAGGAAGCTGCGACACCGCAACTAAAGACACGAAAGAGGACTTCCAGAACTGCTTCAGAAAGTGGCAAGAACGATGGGATAAGTGTGTTCAAAGTGAGTGGAGTATTTTGAGGGGAATTAGTGGCAATGTGTCTTTTACTGTAATAATTTTTTTAACTCTATTATTTGATCACACCTCGTACTTCAAACTTGAAATCATTGCTGTTTTTCTACTTTCATCTTCTACTTCACTTTTCTACCCCCATCCCCCCCTTCCCTGGTCATCTGATTAGTCATCAAGCTTTACCTCAGAATATCTGTTTCTTCTCCATCTCTGTCACTTTTCATCATCTCTTGCCTTTGCCACTAAATTTACCAGTCTCTCCTCCCTTCTCAGTCTTTCCTAGTCTGTCTTCCATATTGCTTCATTACTAAAATCGAATTTTGCTTGTTCCTCCCTTGGAAGAACTGATTTCTCATTGACTGTAGTGTAAATTTCAAACTCCTTAAAATGACGTGCAGAGCCCCTTACAGCTTATTCCTAAGCAGCCTCTTTCTAGTACTGCTTTTCTCCCTCATCTGAAGTCCCTGTAATACACAGATCGTTTGTCATCCCTGGGTGTACCCTGACCTTTCATGTCTTATTCCTTCTGCCCTGATGGTCCTCTTGTGTCCTTATCACCTTAAACCCTGCTCATCTTGCAAGACCCTGGAGTAGAGAAATGTTTCTTGTTTCCCCCAAGGAATAATTGGATATCTCTTTTGTGTTGCCCTTGGACTTCGTATATATCAAGTATAAACTGTAAAGAAAATTACAGGGTGACATAACATTCGAATAAAGCAGATATCTGATCCCTGTCAGTGTTTGTCAGTAAAATAAGGTTGAAAATTCCTCATTCGTAGCCTGTAGAACATCTATAAGTGTAAGTAAAGTAGTTAGTTTGTACC